CTACGTTGCTCGCCCTCGCAGCAAGTACAAAATTCGATATCTTGTACTTCGTAACGCGAATCCGCGCGGTAACATGTGGCGCAAAATATAATTGACGACCGTCGAGCTGCCATAAACAATAACGCGATTAACTACTCTTCCTCTCGCCGGTATTTTTAGTATATAAAAATATTACTGACAGTGTCAATAAAACGATAATTATGACTGATAAACTCTTGATGGCCAAATAGAAAATTGGCCGCGCTCGTATCGGCTCGTGAATTTTTCATCTTCGAGCGGCCGGGGTGTCCCGCCGAATTGCGGTAGTCGATAAATGAGGTCCGTTCGAAGATAAATTAGCGAGAAACGATTATTCGTGGCGAGGTCTGCTACCGTGTGACATCCGAAATCCGCGCGAGATCACGCCGATACGAATGGCGTCGGCATATTCGAAAAACGTTTTCGCCAACGAAATTAAGTCCCAGCATTTTTCAACGGACGTCACGTTATCGCGCGCGCAATTTGCGCTATTTACTCGCGGTTATTCATTTGTTCTTGTCAAATTATCTTAATTTGCTGTAATCGCCCTGTTTATGTTCTTTTTGTCAATTTTCAACACAAGCATATGAACTTATTATTCACGTCAGAATGAACAGTTCAGTCTCGCGGATTTTTGTAATGCAATAAATGCTGCAAGCGTATCAATAGATTGCAATCGCGCATGTGTATCAACTATTATCATAATACAAATAATAGCATTTCTGAATAAAATGCTGGAAAAATAATAATTGGTCGCCACTACAGCCACTGTCGCAAAATAAAGCCGCTATCTATCGTATTCATACGAGAGATCGAAAAAGTATATATACGCAATATACCGTGTATTTATAAATAAAGCATTTATTTTGTGTTATTCCGCTAAATATTGTCAAAGCTTACGCGATATTCGTGGAATATCTCGTAATGCTCGGCCCAAACTCGTTTGCGCGTTCGAATTTTTACGAATACACTCGGAATACGACCAATTATCATGCAGACAGGAGCATCACGGAATTTGAGTTTAAATTTATATAGCGACGATACTTCTCGTTTAAAGCTGAACCAAAACGTATATATCGTTACAGCTGCGAGACTGGAAAGTGTGCTCGTAGAATATTAAACGTACAATATTTTCATCATTATTATTCCCGTTGTGCCGGCGCGAACTGGAATATTCAACCGATGCCGCCGGATAATCCCTCATATTCTTTCGCACTTTGCGTGCAACCGCAAAAACCGCAAGGCATTTGTATTTAAACAATGCGGGGGAGAGACGGGGCGCGTATCACGCGCCAAAATTTAAATAGCACCGCGAATCGGCGGAAAAAATTTACCACCCAGTTGACAAATGTCACACTTCTGACTTTCGTTTTAATAAACGCGTCAACATTTTGATACTCGTCAAAGAACGTTTCGTTAAGCCCGCGAATATGTGAAACCATCACGTGAAATGTTTATCGTATATAAAATAATATCAAACCTAGAATACCAAATACTATTTACGATATACATATGCTTGCAATCTTAAGTTTTACAGTTGGAAAAACTTGCGCGTAATGTATGAATCGTCTTGAAATAATACTGTTCAGTAATTATTTTCTATTTCCCCCCCCCCTTTTACAGGGAAATTTAAAATTGTCGGTGAATAAATATTATAATATAATTATATACGCAATGAAATATTTTAAATAAATTAATGCGAGATCGCGAAAAGAGAAAGGAGACAGTACTCGAGAAAGTATCACGCTAAAACACAACATCTTTGACGTTGTCAAAGCGAAACACGCGCCTAACGTCGGCGTGGGGGGAAAATCGAAGGCGCTGAAGAGAAAAGGAAGGTAGCGAATACGCCGGAACATCCGTGTCGAATGACGACTCTTCTGAGGGACTTTTGGAGCTGGTGCACTCGAGAGTGAAGTGGGAGGGTAGTTGGCCGGCTGTTCGACCGGAAGACGGCCGCCGTCAATTCCGGTCGAAGACTTCGCACTGACCGGAAGTCCGTGCACACTGACGCACACCAACGTGACGCGCGACGTTTCGGCGAAAACCCGACAATCCTAACACTTGGAACCTTGATACTATACTTACTATCACGTTCCTTGAAAAACGACTCACGATAAACGTTCGAATCCGGATTCTTGATCTCGCCTTTTTCGTGTAAAATGCTCCGCTATTATTCTGTCATTAACAGTTGCTATTAAAGCATCAAAGTCATCTTCATTTATATTCTATAGCAAGAAAATATTAACGTGCATGTAAATGAATATAATGTAAAAGACATTGTACTTATGTATAGTCAATTTTATGTTAAGGTTTTTACTTTTCAATCTAAAGAATGAAATAAATAGCAGGTAAAAGACTTGGAAGTAATGGAACGTTTGACGCGATCCAACGCTGTCGTATTATCGTTTTTTATTAAAACCAAATTTCTAGAACGCGTAATGATAGAAATTAATAAAAGGGTACAGCGCTCTGGGAAGAGGCAAAACAGAGTTTTCGAAAGCTTTGCAAGGTCTCCGGTAACAGGATACATTGACGACTATCTTTATGAGACAGCGGCTAGGGAGAATTCCCTGGAGAACTTCCGGATGGGAGACTACGACAAGGTCGAGTTCCGAATTTAAATTATTATTTAGTCGAGAAAGACAAATTACCCCAGCCGTTCTGGTGCTGACTACCCCAAATGCTTTACTGCACTCGAGTAGTTTAAGCGACGCGAAACCAATTAAAGTTACCAATTAAAAAGCTAACGTTGCGTGAATACTCACGCGAGAGCTTCCGTCATCTAAAATATTCATGTTTTATTCACGATAAAATATTGCACGATAAAAATGACCATTGGCACCTTAGCGAGATAAATTAAACCTTAACGGTATTATTTATTTTAATTAATAACACTTTCTATTTCTCAATTACGCTATTGATTTTGTCGTCTTCCTGCAAATCGAACAACGCAAGATGTGTATGGGAAAATTTTTCTCGCCGCTTATTTCTAAGAAAATCGATTCCAATCCAACTCTATTAATATTTTAAAAATAACGTGTTTAAATACTTGTGCGCTAATATAAGATCATAATATGCACCGAAATTGAATCACAATTTCTAGTGAAATTGTAGCTGTAGGTACTCTAGCAGTGTAGTATACGCTAGTATACTGTTATAAAAAGTAGTTCCATAAAAATTATGGTTCCATTATTTACACCACTCGAGTATTACGCGCCGCGGAGTGCCACCATGCGCATTGTGGAAACCTAAATATTTATTTAACTAATCCAGTAATTAATTAGATGTTATTAGTTTAATTTACAAATAGGTGTTTATTTTTATTTTATAAAGGTCAAAATAGGAATTACCTTTTTACCATACGTACGCAGATGCATTTTACATCGCATGCAAATATAATTCTGTAATTACTTATAAAAAAAATGCTCTCATTACCCTGATGGATTTTAATAATTTAACGAATTAACACCTTCGTGTGTAGCGAAAGAAAGCAAGCGGAAAAATAAATGTCTACATACATATGTCATTACATTACATTTTACATTAATATTTCCGTATCAAAACAAACCAACCGCTATTCAAAGTTTTTAGCTTAGCTACCATTGCCGAAATGACCACACTGCGACTGTGGTAAAAGCACCGTTATAGCACGTAAAGTCTGCGTTATCGTTTCAGCGATAAAGAGAATATTTAATTTTGTAAAGAAGAATATTTGCTAGGTAAAAGAGAGATAAAACGGAGTGTATGAATAAAAAAACGTTAAGATACGTAAAACTAGAAATGGAAAAGCTAGTTAAAAGATATATAAGAAAGATTTTCTCTTTGGATCCAACGATTATTCGTGAATAAATTAATAATCTGTCGATCGTGCGTATATTTCTTAAACAAGGCGTGAATCGATCGTGTCGTGCCTCGAACTCGTCGGGGCACGGGGTATTGTTGAGATCGTTGCCGGGTTCTACATTCCAAGCCGAATAAAAACGGCCGGTATAAATGTTTATTCCAAAGTACACTTCTGTTTCTTAATTAAGACTGACCCGCCTTCTTTTCCACTCCTTTTTATAGTTTCCACTTTGGGTCCTGTTGCACAGGCCGCTTATTACCTTAGGCCAACGGCACACGATACTATTTTTCCTACTGGATTGCTTACGAGAGCCACTCAGGATTTAGCCTTAAGTCACCTGATCTGAAACTCAGCAGCCTTATTGGTTCTCGTAAGCAATCCAGTAGGAAAAATTAGTATCGTGTGCCGTTGGCTTTAGTTAGCAGTTGTTTTGTTAGCAACTGCATTACGCGGATTCGATAGTTTTACACTTTGCTCCTAATACTCCGTGTCTTCGCACGCAGCGAGTGTTATCTGACACTTTGCCGCTTGCGATATCGTCGTCTGACGCGCGGCTTTTCGTGCTCATGACAATCGCATTGCCTTCGAAAATTTTCACGGTAAAACATTTATTGTAAATTTTGCATTGCTCAAACAGTAACCCTTAAGTGAATGGTAAATCATATATAAATTTCAGCGCTTCATACAATCGCACTCTCTCATGTATTATTTCAACTAAATTATTTCGCATGTGCACATATTGCGCAGTATTTTGTAGATTACAATTAAAAAATTAATATCAAAATATTTTTGAAACTCTTTCGTTTCCTCTCCGTATTTTATTTATAAAATTTTATCTGTTATTAACATAATGTGGAAATTCGTGCGTTTAAGAATTGTCACGGTAAAAATCAACTTCAAAGCAGATTATTTTTATCACCGCATCCCAATTTTGTACGCGTCTTTGTACTGAATCAATGTCTTCGATATATTCAAGCGTGAAAATTACCGCTGCTATCACAGATACGATCAGACATGATAAAATATCCAGGAATGCCTGGAAACGTAATAATCGCGCTTTAATTACAGAGTCGTGTATTGCACCACGCGCAATTTTTATTTGACGGAACGTCGGATTCCGCGAGCCGTGTTACTTTTCCGCTACCGAGATCAGTCTGGGTTAGGTAGGATGCGTTGTAGGATATCTACGCTCTGTTTAGCCAGTCGAGTTGCAACTTTCAAGGCAGCAAGTTGCAGTGCACGTGGCGACCGTCGCGACTATACATCCCGCGAGATGCGATCGATCGAGACGTGTAGTTTCGCAACAACGCGCAATCGTCTGCAGAAATGTGCTTTACACCACAGTGAAACCTCGTTAAGGACATGGCAACGAAAAATGGTCCCGTTGCCTTCACTCACGATACGATAGAACTGATCGAAATGAATCTGATAGAAACGCACGCAAGGTACACAAATTGCTGAATTGCCGCAAAATTATACGCGTATCACACGTTGAAATATACATATGGAAATTTGATCGCGATATCTAGCGATGCGATTATACAATCGGTTGCTTGGCAACCTTCGGCGCTCCATTTAAACACTTTTATTTCAGTACTATTAGTCATATCGTTTCGTGAAATGTTACTGCGAAAAAAACCTGCGGTGATGTTAACTGTCGGTTAAGTACGTGTGTTAAACTCGTACAAAAGAACGGTGTAATTTCATCAATGTTAACTGGCACTTGCGGATCGGTGTGTCAGGGAAACCGTGACCTCAAATCACCGGTATGGAACCTGCTACATTCGTGACGTAATGTCTAAAAATGTTGGCGATGCCACGGTTACGACAGTAAACTGACGCCAATCGATCACGTGCAATCGCGGTTAATGGCAAAAAATTCAATATCGTTCCTGAAGTTTCTGAGTCAAGTAAAAACATACGTACGAAAAGTACGTCTTAACTTACGTCTTAACTAACGTAGATTACTAATTCTTCGTAAATTGATACGCTGAGGTGTAAATGTCCTTCAAACTGTGTCTGTTCAGAAACTTCATTCGTGCATTATTATTTATAACATCGATAATGATAACTTTAATTCTTTAATAAAAAAAAACTTTAGTGGTAATTAATGACGATACTTATCGAAACACGCAACGTGTAGTCAAGGATACAACGATATGTAATCACAATAATAATGTAAGTGTAATAATAACAATAAATTAAATTAAATATACAAAGTGTGCGTGTTGCTGCAGACAATATAATATTTGCAATTTATAATATTTGCAACTGTTCTAAATTATTTGTGATTATTATACAGCAAATTAAAATGAGATTTGTTCTACTTTAATTATGCGATTGACTAATAACTTTGTTTACGCTTTTAACAAATAAGCAGGACGTAGCGTAAAATTAACCATTAACTATTTAATTCTCTGTGTTCATCACTCTAACCGCCTTCCGGCTTGGTGCAATCCTCATTATTGTCAATTAGGATTAAACGGTTCAGTTGTATTTGCCTACAATATTAACTCACTTACTGCGTATTAAATACTGCATATGATCGATACGTTCATATAAATAATAGTAAATTTTACGTAGAGCAAATACTCGTCGCATATAAAAGCGGGGACGAAATAACAACTAATTCTGATATTGAAAAGTACGTGATGTTCGCCTATATAATATATTTCAACGCACAACGTCTCTGTTCCGTTACCTTCAAGTATTTAATAATAGCGTTTATTCGCTCTTACTTTTCCATTGCTCTCATAGTTCACTGCGTGTTAATCAATTAGTCCGCCGACCAACCTACGTGTCTTAAATGTCCACTTAAAATATTACTTATCGCATGCAATGCAACTGCGATGAGAGATTAAAGCGCGCTTCTGTGCTGCAAGTAGAAAGAGAAAGAGACCATTCATGCTGGATATCATAAGAGAGCAATTTTTAATCAAACGAAACCTCGTGCTCACGTCCTCCGCCGTCCTGATACCAGCCTACAGACAAAGTGAGCGGATAGAACATCTATCCCAAAAGAACATCAAACGTTTACGATCTTTTGAAAGAACTCGATTATTCATCCATGAAAATTTCTCCTGTTTCATCGAGCGCTTTCATCCCAAGAGTCGTAGCGAATTAATCGCCCGTCCTCTCGCACTAGTTGCATCTGATATCTCCTTGAAGCTTAGAATATTTCAATATTTATGCTTTTATTCTACCGCGTGCGTTGCATGTCAGCTTACGTATATACAATATTAAATTACGTTACGTGTTTTAATTCTGATTATTAGCGCGATTGTTATCTCGTTAATAATGGAAAATTACTTTTAACGTTAGGTTCTTTCATTTACATTGTCATTGACTGACAAAAGTCAAGCTGAACAAACGTCAATAATTATATAAATTTATTATATTTTAAGTTGATATAAATATTATCATTTGTTTTCCATACAGATATCGTGCAAAGTTGAAGGAGAATTGGAGATAATTGGAGATAAGTACGAACTGATGGGGAGGTGATTGGAGATAAATGTGAACTAGCACGCACGAAGTGATGTAATCTGTAATAAGCGGAGCACACGAGAACTGTAGGACTGCAGTACATTAAAGAGTCTGCAATACATTTCAATAAACAGGACTCTTATTTTATTGAATATAAAACGACATGTGCACGCGATATCTCGTCGTCAAGTATACGATCTAGCTTTTTCATCATTAATAAATCGAAGCACAGGAACATCCTCGAATAGTCAAGTAATTTTCGGCCTTAATCATTATATATTTACATCATAAATATCTAAACTTCGAAGGAATCCACTAAATTATCAGACATTTTTCGGATTATTTTTAATAAGAGACCTTTAAATAGATTAGCGAAACAAGATATATATATATATATGTATGTGTATGTGTATGTCTTAAAACGTGAGTAATATATTATTTTATCTTTTTGAGGCGATAAGCGACAGTCAAGGCCGACGCCTGAGCTAACAATAAGTTAAAAATACGCAAGTTTTCCTTTCGCAACTCTTGCATTTCTTTCTGCATAAAGAACGGACTTGTACGTACATTTCGTCAAACCGCATCCGCATCGCTACAAGGAATTTTTTCCGATTGAAGCTGGTTACTTTCTACGATCTCCTAGCATCAATGTTCAAAAGTTATTCGTACAAAATTTTCTCCCATTGTGGAATAGCAATAGATATAGATACAGAAAATATAAATAGATATACAAATCTTCTTACACGTTTATTTGTACACAACGTTTAGTAAATTGTGCTAAGGACATTTCAAACAATTATCGAAACCGCATCTAATAAGGTAGCGTCACTTAACGCTATAAGAAATGCAGATAGCATATCTTGAGAGCATTGCCAAAACAATGAAGAAGAAATCGTTTATCTTCGTCGGTCTAATTGTGACAACGATCTTGACACTATACCTCTACTTATCAGCCACTTACAGCGACTTTCAACTTCACGAAATATTTTTCAAGATAATTCGCGACGAGGATTACTTCGTGAATGTAACCGTTAAGACGTATAGAGAAAGGGGCGTAAAAACTATCCTTCTATGGAACACGTTATTCGGCGATAAAAATTTTTACTTCGGAAATGACAACATTTTCCACGATTGTCCTGTCGATAGGTGCAAAATCTTTAACGATCGGGACTATTTAAATGTGGAAGATTACGACGCGATTCTTTTTCACGGCAACGAGATAGATGAAGTGCCACAGAAGAGGAAGATAACGCAATTTTATGTGTACGTTAATCTGGAAAGTCCAGCCAATCGAAAAGTGCCGGCGAGATACCGAAAGAACTACTTCAACCTCACGATGACATACCGGCTCGATAGCGATATACCCTGGACTTATGATATCATAGAAGATATAAAAAGCGGCAAATTTATCGCACCCTCAAAAAATGTCGATTGGAGCGCTTTTCAAAATAATACAAGTAATATATTTTTTTTTTATACACATTACATATACATCTTTTCTCTATCCAATGCCGCTTTGACCAATAAAAATACTCGGATTAAATATTGCATAAATGTTCAATATTTCTTTCTTCACATTGTAAAATGGCATAGTTTCGAAGTCAGAAAGTAGAATACAATAACTACAATTTTACTTTTTACCGACCGTTCTTATCTCTTCCATTATCGTGTCTTTATATGCGAAATGTAATTAGTTTTCTTGTCGCAAAACAAATGATCCCTATGTCCATGAACGTTTCAACGACAAATTCTCAAGCGGCGTATCTTCCCACCGTGTAAGCTACCTCGAGTACGCGAGAACTAATCAGTTTCCGCAGGTGCAGGGGACGCGGTAGACGAAGTGCCATCTGCGATATTGGACACCGTCAAGGGTAAGAGCAAGCCGGTAACTTGGTTTGTAAGCAATTGCTACGCCAAAAGTGGCCGGTTGAAGTATGTCGAGGAGCTGTCGAAGCACATAAGCGTCGATATTTATGGCAAATGCGGCACATTTAGCTGCGAGAAAGACCGGAACTGTTTTAGCGACGTCGCTGAGGCCGACTACTTTTTCTACCTGTCCTTCGAGAATTCCTTCTGCGACGATTACGTGACGGAGAAGCTGATGAACCCGCTCAGGTAATAACAACGCTTTCAGATAGGGAGAAATCGTTATCCGCAACCAGTGCGTGAAAACAAAGACAATCTAACTAACGTCTGCGAGGTGTTTTCCCCTGATGATATATGAGTTAACCTTACAAGAAACGCGTGTGCCGTTATGCGTGATATGAGTCAAAATGTAAGACTGATACGAAAACGTTTTATCAAGTTACTTCTTACAGTCTTTAGTTCCGCGTTAATTATTTAAATACATTTAAAACCAAGACATAGAGGAAAGTCCTCTAATAGCAGTCTAATATGAGATAGTAGGTTTTCAACGTTCAAATTCAATCACAAATCTTTTTTCCGCAACGACTACACGATCTAACAAATCAATTTTCCACTAAACAGATTGCACTCCTAGGGCAATAAATTCGTGATGGAATCAACAGACGATGTCTATTAATTTAGCAGGAACTCCGCTATCTCATAATAAGGGACTTTCCTCTATATGTAAAGAAACGTTATTTAAAAAAAAAAACTTTTAACGATGAATTATTTCTGCCGTTTTCTTTGATTATCATTACTTTTCAAGTCACCTTTTACAGAGCAAGCACGTTGCCACTGTTATCTCGGAGAAAAAATGATTAATATTTAAACGATATTTTCTAATAATCGTATTATTCACATGCAATCAAGTATAGAACCTATTCGAATCGTGCGCAGACTGACTGTTGCGTTACGCATTGACGTTTAATGTAGATGCAATAAGCATAAAGTTGACATCAAAATTCCACGATTGTCTGGAATTGAAATATTATCGGCGCGGCGATAGAATCGATACGGCAGCACGTCAATAATTGAATCGAATTTATTGCTATTTGCGGATTGTGCGAAATACAAATGGTAACGATAACGCCACGCGCAGTGTTTCTTTCCCGTTTTTATTCGCACGAGCTGCTCGACAGAGCACAATGCGGACAATGCTTTGGTGATCGTTAAATATGTTCGTTTATCATTCGATATTACGAATAATCCAATTTTACGGGCACACACCCAATATCTGATGACAGATATATTTTGATATGAACCACATGTCAAAAGACATCTGTCATAGTTTACGCCAATGCACGTAGCCAAGGGTGCGTACTTATTGCATATGCGATCAAAGGGGGGGCAAAAAAGCGTATTAAACGTCGAAGCGATGTTTCTTGTTATGACTTTCAATAAACGTCTACAATCAAGATATTTTTAATTATCGTTATTATTGTTTAACGGAAGAGCTAATAATTTATTCAGATCAGGGGCAGCACCTATTTTAAATAATGCCTAACCTACGTGCAGACGTGATACGAAAACCATTCTGTATTGTTTATTTCAATTTTACTCTTTATTCCTTTTTTCGTCATATCTTTTTCTATATGTAATTCTACAGGTAGACTACGTAAACTGCAAGAAAATATTATCAACCATTAACAGGATTTTCTTATCAATATTCTTGCAGGTACAATGTCGTCCCGGTGGTTTATGGAGGCGCCAACTACAATCAGTTCGCACCGCCGAATTCCTACGTAAATGCCTTGGACTTCGAGAGTCCGAAGGAGCTTGCCGCGTACTTGAAATATCTCTCTCAGGATCCGCGGCGATATCAAAGCTTCCTACAATGGAAGAAATATTATCGAGTCAATGTCGGAACGAAGCGGGCCGTTTGTACCCTCTGCGAGGTCTTGCATAAGCAGAAAAAGCCGAAGGTATATGACGATTTATCGTACTGGTACGCCAAAGATAAATGTCCTATTCAAAGGCTTCTAAAAAATAGCACTGACGGATATGCAAAGAAATGTATGCTAACAAATTGTGGCCAGAAATAGAGGCCAAATTATAAAAGAGTATCGCGAAAATATTAATAATGTATTCAAATTAAATGTAAAAGAAAAGTGTCCTGGGGTCGATTGAACTTAAATGTAAATTAATGTGAACCTAGATATTTAAAAAAGTGTATATATAATGTAAATAGTAGTAATCACAGATTTTCAATTCGTTATTTTAGCTTCACTTCTGCGTTATTGATCAAAGTCCACGCGTAATATAAATACTTTCCGAATCCATCTTGCTTCCAAACTGAATTGACTTTACGGGAGTGTATCGGTATTATTAAATACGATTCATCTTAGTTTCGGAAACTTTGATTTGTGGGTACGTAATTAAGCCTACACGTGATAATGAGATATCCCTTCGTCATCTGTTATCCAATTATATATATTGAGCGTTTCTAAGTCTATAACGAGGTGAACGACGATGCAGCTTCGACGTTTGACTTATACATCGATGACGGGTCATTAGGCCGAGAATGTACATCGATATATTCACTACTCGCTTGATTAACCAAGATCAAAGCGGCCAAGCTCCATCGCCCTAACACTGCTACACTCTGAGAGTTTGAGGAAAATAGATATGTGATTTACTGATCGCGTCATATTCATAAAGAAAACCAGCTTTCGGGGATTATATAATGAAAATTCCGTCGATACGTAATAGAATGAGTGAATATAAAGCATATATTTGTATGAAAGACTGACAGTAGTCTTATTATCTCACCAAGAATCTGCCAGGAAAAAATGTTCTCGTGATATTTTCTTTAGTATTTTAGAAAATATTACTTTTATACCTATGGTTAATAAACATGTAGGGTCTTGGGCAAATAATTCTCAGAATTTCATTCTCTTTATAATCAGGACAGCTCTATGCTATCGGCGTACTGATAATCGCGACGCTAGACAGTGGCTTCCGCTATCTATGTAGTAATACCATATAAGTTAGACTAAACAACTGAGAACTCACAATCTGCTGCTCGGGCACATACGTAACATATCTAAGTGGTTTCTTCATCGTTCACGGCTACAAAATTGTTTGTAGCGCCCCATAAAATCCTAAACTATTATATTACACACCCATAAATACGCACATAGCGTGTTATCGTAAACTTATATAGCAAATGCAAGCCGCGATTTACCGACAAACTGCAAATACAACTAATATTATATTTATAAAACAATTTTGTCTACCTGTATGGTTAAGAAAAAGTTAAATGTTATGGCAAATTAAGATAATAGTCTGTCCATAAGCCTTATTTAATATAATCTTTAAAAAAAATACTGAAACAAATGTGTAGTTTTAATATATGCACAATCTAATTGTATATAATATAAAAAGTACATTTTATTCTCACTAGAGCTTTTCTACATTTAGCTTTCGGCTAAAAAAATTTTAATAGTATACATTTTTTAAATTAGCAAAATTACTACCGAAGATACTACCTCATTCCGATTTATGGAAGTTAAAAATCTGATTTATAGCAGGTAGAAAATAAAGATAAACATTTTTTTACTTGTCAACCTACATTATTTCATAACTGCGCTGTTGTTGATTTGCAGTATCACTCGAAAAGGACCCAAAAGTATAGGATCGAAACGTTGTGTAATAAACTAATTAAATAACTAGCCAGTTGAGTTGACTATAAGTTTCCCGTCTCAGAGATAAAAATGTTTTAATTCTCGTTACTCTTAGAGTTTATACAATGTGAAAGAAATATTTTCCATTTACATGAAAAATGTTACTTCCCTCGTAACAAAATTAATTTCGTAAGCAATATTCGAGACGGAGATATGTCAAATTACGCAAGGAGCAATTGTATTTGTAATACACAATATATTATTATTTGCGCTTCATAATAATGAATTTCGACAAACGTAAAGTTGTAAAATGCAAAAGTAAAATTAATCTGCGAATATAAATGTACATACAAATGGAAAATTATGCAACGACGCCCATGCACATTCATCATTATATAAATGTATAATGATAATATCAGTTATGAACGATAATAATAATTTTCTCTTTCACAAACGGCGAGAAAACTTTAAGTATATAGTTGATGTACTAGTTTTGTAAATTTACGTTTACGAATTTTTTAATTATTTATGTTCTCTCTTCGTTAATTTTGTTTTGTTGTAAATATTCTGTAAATTATATAAATTATATTGTAATAGAGATACGAATATATTTTCTTCTTTCTAAATCTTTCTCGTAATTGCAATGCCGACACGTTATATCCTTCGGATCTATAATTTTCGAGGTACAATCTCATGTTCGACAGGACGTGTGCATGTATGCCACCAACTTTGTAGGAATCTTATGACTTAGTATTCATTCGAGGAAGATCAAAACCACTAGTCGAAATGCTGTGTTAGCTCCGAGGGGGAAACCGCTGACCAAATTCTCGTACACCAATGTCCACTAATGCCCAGTGAGCATTACTATGTCTTATTATCTTATTATATCTTTATAATGCCCCAGCAAGGCCTAATGCCTAAACTAATGCCCCAAAAATGCCCAGTAATGCCACAAATCTGTACACCACAATACCCTCAGCGGTTTCCCCCTCGGTTAGCTCTAATAACTTTGCCAGTTGTGGACTTGTGGTCGATAAACATACATTTGCAAAATTACTTTTAATAATCGATTTCTTGATCTGATTAACGATTTATTTGTAAAAATGCGAATTCATAAAATCGACGTGTGAAAACTAACATTTTCAGCATTACAGTTTTTAATTTTAAAATCCAATTTCGACTAATACTCCTTCATTTATTAATCCACGGTCATAAATGTCTTGATTGTTTAGTTGATACTTTGTATGAAAGATGGTCCGTACTTAGAACAAGAAAAAAAAACTTCGCTGAGAAATAACAAGATTAAACAAGCTCGCCCTCGCTGTACGAGTTTCTTCCTCTAATGAAGAAAGCTTCTATTCCTTAGTTTCTGTGTACATGCATGGCGTCCAATTAAATTGCGATCTGTTATATCCAATTTCACTCTCCCGGTTATATGTAGTTACTTTGACACTGAAGTTTCAACAATATTTTTTTATCGATACACTGCACAGAGGAAAATAACACGTTTGCTTTATTATCGAGTTTTTTATGTGAACGGTATTAAAATGAATTTCGTAAAATCAAATGAAACTCATCGATAAAGAACGTATCGTATCTAAGTTTGATTTCAAAATGATATTTTATTATGATTTCATACTTTTATTATTTTATTTTTATCACTGCAAGCTGATATACCCGCTTTACGGTTTACGATATTCTCTTTCCGTGATCATTATATAAAAGCACATATTATTTTACACATGAATCCGCGCGCAGATATCAAAGCACGATCCTACGTGTTAAAGGAGGGGGAGGGGGGGGGGCGGCGAAGAGAAAAACTCCTCATAAAATTCTATATCAGGCAAGCGAATGCCTCCGGCGAGTCATCTCAGACTTATGCGGGGGACTCTTAACGAAGGAAACTTCCACTTCCTTTGTACGTCCGCCCGCGCGATAAGCAATCGAATTGCAATAAACCGGACCGAGATGTCGCAAGTTACCGAGATAGATATTACCAATGATAGTTGTGTTGAAGTTACGAGAATCGCGAAAGTACTACGTACAAGTACACCGCATGCTAGACGGGTACACGCCGCGGCACCAGCTCGCATTGTAAAAGTACTACTTGGGCACAACTTCGAGCGTCGAACAACCATTCCAGTAGGTTGTAACAACCTCAAAGTCCTCCTCAAAGTTCATCGCGGCGGCAATTTCTTGTCGCTAGTACCATAAACTCGTAGTCTCTTCCTCTCGCTCTTTCCCTCCGTTTCACCATATATTTATACGATACAAACACGATAATCTTCATCGGTTTACGCATTAAGACGACCGAATTCGAGCGTTCGAATCCGAGTTCGAAACTAATAAAATTTCAACGAGTACAAGATTAAGTATTACACAGGCACAGCGTGAAAACAATCTATACATACCCTCTAAAAGTCATTCAGTGGATTATCACTGAAAACAGTCAGCAGTCACTGATTGATTTTTAGAGAGTACACCCACAGAAAAAATTTCCGGATCCAATGCTATTACACTTCAATGTATCATAAAGTAGGATCGATGTAGCGCCAATCACATTTATTATAGAAAAGGGAATATTTTAATCTTAAATGAAAAATTCTGAAATCTAGAAAATTTTTTTCTAAACGCAAGAATATATAAACTTACATTTATACAAGTTACTCTTGTCTCAATATAGTAAGTCAGTCTTTTTTAATTCGATAGAGAAGAATAAGAATAATTGATTTTATTTTGATACACTGTCTTATTTTTATACTAAATGAAATTGGGAGAAATATAAATGCATCAAGAAATTTTTTGTCTCAGTAACAGAAATCCTTTCTGAGGGCGCAGGTACTTATTTGAGTCGGGAGTCGTCGGAAATGCGAGACTCATTGACAGCACAATATGCACTTACCGTGCACGCATCAAAATTGTAGTAGCTTTTTATTAATCTGGGCTCGATTTATAATATATGCACGATATTAGAAATCGCGAAAGGGGATGAGATTGTTCCCCGATATGCGCACAGCCGCGATGTGGTTGATCGATTGTGTGCGAGCTCCACATCAGTTATTTGACAATGCACATCATATGGCTATTCGGCGCGTAGTACGATACGCGTCATGGGAAAATAGAAACTGTTGCATTATAACGGACCGTAAAGTGCGCGTCAGCAATGATCAAACGTCGGATAATGTTTGGCTTCCGATATTGCTTGTTAGAACGAACGAGCGGCGAGATAAAGAGCACGCGATTGAATTTCATATTGGCATATTTTGCGCAATACTTGCACAGAGTAATGAAATACTCAAAGCTTTGTCTTTCTCGTCGCATATTTCGACTTTCTTTTAATTATTGCGCGAATAGTTTAAACGCAGCCTTTCGGATTACAGCTGCGACACGCAAATATTTGAGTTATTACAATTACTGCCTCATATACTGCCGCTATGACGCAACGATACATTTTACGGGAATGTATGCCATCTCATTTAGCATCTATTTGTTTGATTGATCCGGAATTCCTTCATTTATTTTCCTAAATAATGAATTTGTTCAGCATTACGCTGTTATATTTTAATATGTACTTATATGGTTTCTTGATATATGTATATGTACTGTTGCAAATATTGCAAATTTTGTTTGTAAACGAAATCATCAATTTGGAATGAAAAGGTTTAGCTGATACATATTAATGCGTAATCTGAATCTTGCTTTATAATTTCAAATGGAAAGTACGCATTGCAAATTTGCATCGGATGGTTATTATACAAATTTTGGATGCAATCGTCAATTTTATTCGCATTAATACATTACGGGATAAAACGCTAGCAATTAAGTGAGTGCGATGATACGGCCGCAATAATTATGGATTGCAGTCACTTTATGCAGCTCGCTCGTGTGTAACATAATTAGGATATAACGGCAAAAAGCGGGCAAAAACGACACATCATTGATTAATGATGGCTATTCGATCGCGTTATATTTATTTACAGATCATCGAGAAGACAATACATCATCACGTTGTGATTTAATAGTACGTCTATACATAACGCTATTGCTTTCCCCAAACACGTTATTTCATTCGACGGTATCACTCATCATTAATATTCACACAATTCTAGACCGTTCAACAGTTAACAACGTTATATGATAAATCTTAATGCAATTTCATGACACAAGGCAATCGTAATTCGCCAGTCTGGACTTTGTGACTAAAAGTGAACGTTGCATTAATTATTGTCTTCTACATGAACGGCGACGCGGTTGACAAATATCTTTTCCCAATTTACGTAGGTAACAATTGAAACATGGTGAACGATAACAACACCTACGGATGAGTCGTTTTCGCGAGCAAAACTTTGTTTCCGATCTCTTATGACGGGGAAATTCCGTCGCGCAATCCCCGGCAAAGTGTTAACGCCGTGAGCGATAAATACGAGGGTTGAAAGTGGAAAAGCAACGGCTCGAATCGAGTCGGAGGGATATAAAAAGAAATTACTGGCCTCTCAGACGCACTTGGACCTCCAAACGGTACTGGCGCTCGCGCACTCCCTTTACCCTTCCCACCTTTTCGCCCTTAGTTTCCATCTTGCTTCCTTTCTTGCGCGATACCCCCTTGCCATTTCTCTCTGTACCCGTTCTCTCTTTTATATCAGGTTTATCTTCTACCTCTTCCTTCTTTTCCCGAGACTGCTCCGGCTATTTCCCGATTCCGCTGCTCCACACTCGTAACCTGAATTATAGATGTCTTTCACAGTCTGCCGCAACTCACAGTTCTGCCTCCGTTTCCGGTTCAACGAAGATAGCATGCTTGAGACATTATTTGCATACATGAGCGCGAACGGGAATACCATCAGGAATTTGATTTTTTGCTACACCCCAAGTATTCGTAGGATTCAAATATATTATGCATAATTCTAGGGAAGTGCTATCTGTACATTATCGTGCATCGTTTCAACTACCGGCTGAATATTTTATCCTACTTCGTTCTA